CCTCGTCGTCCACCGGGTCTATCACGCTGAGCGTGACCAAGAGCAAGCCCGAGACCGGAGAGGTGATCGGCGTGTTCGAGAGCCTGCAGCCATCGGACACCGACCTGGGCGCCAAGACTCCCAAGGATGTGAAGATCCAAGGCGTCTGGTATGCTCAACTGGAACAGTAGTCGTCATCGTACCTTCCCCCCAAGGCGTTGTCCCTTCGTCTTCATCTTCTTCTTGGCTTTTTCGCCTCTGTATCATTCCCGAACAACCGAGCGGACATGCATATGGCATTGCAACACTTAATTGGCTCTCCAATGGCAATGGCTTTTGTGTTCAAAAGTGCCTTCATTCTTGCAATGCTCCAGGAAGTGATCATGCTGCTGAAAACTAAAAGGTGAAACAAACAAAGATGGAGGAGAATCAGGAGTAAAGACTGTCAGTGCTGTAGAAACATGAAGGAACAATGATGTGAGCACATCCCTACACCAACACCTGTAGAAATTACTGTAGAACACAACCTAAGAGCCAAACTTGGCCCAAAGTTCTATCGGCTCCCAAACTCATAACCAACCTAGAGAACCACTATTGAATCAAAGAGTCAATTATATGTTTAGCCAGATGATTACTCCTTGAATCAGCAAACGATCTACAGATGACAAAGGTATAAAAAGCACACGCACCATTCACTGCTTGAGTGTCTAATGGATGGAGGATCATCATCGGCATGATTTTGAGGTGAGGTGAGGTGAGGTAGGTGGCTGCCGTCGCTGCCCACCATTTTCGCTAATATTATCACGCGAGGCTTGTCAGCCAAGATATGCCGCTGAACCGTGTCGATCAAAACCCTTGGAGGTGGTTCTTCTCCGAGCTGCTCATCATCGTAGTCATTGTTCACATAGTACCCAACTCTGATAAGAGCAAGTCCAGGGTACCACCGTGATGCCTATGGTGTCTTCTTCATGAATCTTTGTTGGATCCGGTGGATCTGCCTGAAAGTAAAACAAGAATATGTCACTTGAAATCATGTGAACAAACCATTTTTACATCACAGCACAGATTTCTCTAAAATAGCCTGGAAAACACACCGGTAATTCCCAATGACCATGATGATGAGCAGCAAATTGAAAATTACATAGTCCAGGATAAAGCAAGCAAAAGAGATCTGTAAAACACAAAAAAGGAAATAAAATAGATTAAGGCTGCAGCAAATTGTTAAAAGTAATCCTTTATTCAATTGGGATTCTGAATTCTCAAAATTACTCTTCAATTTCCAATCCTACCTGCAGCAACTCAACTCAACTCAACCCATTACGAAATCAACTCGGAATGAATAATACTTGACCACCGGCTTTGGATCTTGTTTAATGTCTACGTCAAAGTGTGACAATGTGATGAAGGAAACGACACATAAGTCCATAAATGTCCAAGCAGAACTGTGTTGCTGGAACAAGTAATATATTGCAAAACACTTGCTCATACAAGTAACATGTGACCCAAAAAATACAGTAAACAACAAAAGTTTTGCCACCAAGTTCAAATGTAGACACATTCACAAAATATTGCAGCTTTTAGTTTTAATCAGTGCAGGCTCTACTTTCTTGCAAAAGCATCAGAAACATCATTCAAGATGCTGCCTCTATCGGTGAGGGCCATATAAGCCTTCACAACAAACAGCTCTAGTTGTAGGAAATAGTAGATAATTTTGTGCAAACAAACTTCATTTAATTGCCACTGAGAATTCAAAATTCTATTGAAAGTTGGAATTATAGTAAACAAGAAAATTTTTACCTCAAAGTTCATCTGCAAACCGATTCATAAAATAAAATGCAGCTTCTTGGTTTTGGTCTGTCAATGCCTCACTTTCTTCCAAAAGCTTCAAAAATAGAATTTATGGTACTGTCTGATCAATTGATTTGCAGTGAGGGGCATACGACCTATCACAACAAGCACTAGTTCAAAGAAACAGTCTCGATAATTTCAAGCCATCAAATTTAATTTTCTCGCTATTGGGAATTTAAACTTGTAGAACACAATATAAATCTGGTGCGGAAGTCTCCTATAAATCAGATACTTTCAACATCCTCCTCGTCCTCTTCTCCTGTGGTATAGCACTCAACTTCAACATAGTTATTCCTCATGGGAATTTAAACTTGTAGAACACAATATTAATCTAGTGTGGAAGTCTCCTATAAATCAAATTACTTTCAGCATCCTCATTCTCTTCTCCTGTGGTTACTATATGCTGAATCCGATCTTGGTTACTATATATAATGATCAAATCTTTCACGATAAATAAAAGGAAAAAGTAACAGATTGAATTTGGGACTTATCCTACATAAATCGATTTCACTTGGTATAATTGTCCAAACTCTTGTTTTGGTCGCCATCATCTTAGATCCTATTGAGTCACTGATAGATGCATGATGTGCTTATGCACATATATGGATATTTATATTGTTCTCCTGTGATCCATTGATTTATGTAATTTGTATGATGTTTCTATTTCTATTCCAGATTTTTCTTACTCAGCAATGTTGATGATGCTGAGATGTATTGTTTAAATATTTAAAAGCCACAAGATCATAACAAGCATCAAGGTAGAAGAAACAACAAACTAGTTCAGTATATTTACAAATGATGGAAACAATATTGCATTTCCTCTTAGCAGTTGGTTTAATGTAATTATGACTTTGAAGTTGAGAATTGTAAAGGTTGATGCTCGCTAGGCCATGGCACTGCTTTTAGAATTGTTGGCACATTTTGAGTATTTCTCATGTTGGTAAGCCACTTAGGGTTTGACACTTCCCATCTTACCTTAAAAAGTTGCATCAGAAACTAGAGCTAAAACTAGACGAACAACAACGACGCTAACAGGTCACTGTGACATACATCTATGTGAAGATCTGTCAAAAAATCCTAAATACCTTTCTCATCGATTCCACAAACACACAAAAAGAGAAAAGAAAACAAAGGAGAAGGAGCAGTTCGATAGCCAAACCACGAGACACGCCCACAGTACGGCACCAACATAGTGAGAACTTTCAAGAAAACCACATCAGAGTTGGGATTTCTTTTCGCTAACCCAGAAATTTTCGGTTAAGAGGCATACCATCATCCGTGGGAAGCCCGACCAATCCCAAGGCCACCGCCCACTGGTCGCGCGCAAAACCCTAGAAATCGAGGAACACCCTCAGATTCCCTTCTTTCATACTCCTGATGGAACCCTAATAGCGACCGAATCAAAGCAGAGTCTGTGGCCCTTCTTGTTCTTCTTCGCCCACCGAAATTGAAATGGTCTCAAAGACTCCGCGCCTCGCATGAACATTACATGTCATCTTTCTTCTTTATGATCTCACCGTTTATCGATGACCGACCGTATCACAATCAACGGTTTATAGCATTTTAATTATTATTATTGCAAAGTCCGGGCGGGGACGTTCAAATTGTTTCCGGATCGATTTGAACCGAGTCGGGTACAGTGGAAAATCGGGCCCACCTTTTAACCCGTCTCTCTCTCTCTCTCTCTGTGGGAGAGGGATGGAGAGGCAGAGATCGTTTTGGTTGTAAGTCCAAGGGGGTCCACATATCATTCCACAACTAATAGGTGGTGGGGGCAAATATTGCACTGAAAGAAATCTAGCCCAAGCAGTTTTAGCACAAGGAGGATAAGCAGTCTCACAAGAAGCTCATATAAAAATCACCTTTGCATAACAAATATGAGGATTGCAAGGCAAGTGTAAAGAATGAATAAGGTTGCAATCATAATGCAGTTATCAATTCAATGCATGACATCTCCTTCCAGATAAGATAAATTTCAAATAAGTAGAAACTAATGTAGGTTTCAGAAATCCAGCACCATTCAAGTAAAATTGGACAGAACTGTGGAGTATGAAACTGGGCACTAAGTACAGATTGGCATCGACAAACTTTGTAAGTTCAGCTTATTTCACCACAGACGAGATTCCGAGAGGCTTGGCTACCATCGACTTCGCTTGTTTGCTTGACTGGTTGCCATCAGGAATCAAGAATCATCCAGCACTCTAACAAAAAATTCAGCACCTAGCAATCCACAATGCATACAATTGGTAATTGGGATTCCAGTTGGCAATATTTTTTATCGTAGGGTAACAACTGTGCCAGAACTACTCGGACACGAGATTCGGTTATCTTAAAGCTTCAGCCGAGGAAGAATCCACAAGAGCTTTTGCCTGCACAACATAAAGACATAACCAGTTGACCAAGGGGGAAATGCAATATTTACTCCTTAACCCAATGAATCCAACTAAACAGCTAGAAAGCATTCTTCACTTTTAGATGTTAAGGATCTGGAAGCCTAAATTCAAGAAGTGCCAAAAAAAAAAAAAAACGATGCTACCAAGGTGGATACCATAAAGACATACCCATAAACTAAACAGCAGCCTTGCTCAGATCCTGATGATCAGCAATTACATTTTGATTTTTGCTGTAAAGGTACAACTCATACGTCAGGTAAAGAGAAGAAGATGACTGAATAATAACTCGAGGCTCGCTAAGAAGTTTTACAAGCATCAAGTCCCTCTACATGCCTTACCAATGCACCTGACACATCACAGATGTCGAAGGTTGACAGCACAAACAATATATTAACTTTGAATAACAAGCCAAATATCAGATTACCATTAGCAAGGAAGTCTAGCATCAAATGGGGCGTATTGTAACTGAAGTATATCCAAGGCAATCTCAGTTCAACTTCATCAGATGACAGCAACCAGGGAAAATCCTTTTCTTTATCATCTACAAGAATTGTTCTTCTAATAAGGACTCTCTTCGAGAGAGATAAGTGCCTCAGTTTAAACTTAAATTGGACCAGAATCTAGAAAACCAGCAACATACTCAAATTCCATACAACTTGGGTGACAATAGGCCACAACCTAAATTCAGCATAAAACAAATGGGAAATTCAGCCACAACCTATTTTAGATATGGGAAAATCAAGAAATAGAACTCAATAGGAAGCCAGCCAAATGGTACACAATAAATTATCTATATAACATATATTTATAACATACAACCATATCCAACATCATTCATATTATGATAATTAACATTAGTATCTAATCTCAATTCCCAACCCATAATTTAACCAGGTAAGAAATTGTATGATATGAAGATTTAGTAAAGCTTTAAGTTTGCTTAGTTTTAGGCTCCATCATGCTAGGTATAGATTTGATCAACCAGCATTACAGAAAAGCAAATTGAAACAATAGATCTTCACACCAGTTTTGTGTTTTATAAAAAAAATTGTTTTTTTTTCATCTTCATTGGTAACTTTTCTGATGTCTTAAAAGCGATAAGAATGCTTGACACATTTATGGCAAGCAATCCCTATGAAGGTCCAAAGGTAATCCGTAAGCAAACATGGATACTTCTGGAACCTGTTGTGCACTCACCTAATATGGAGTTTCAAAGTACCAAACATACTTGACAAGTGATACACACACACACACACGATCAACAATGCACACTTCATGCCGCAGCTATTCCTCCAGCTAAAATTAAAAACAGATTAGAAGCTCAACTCAAGCGATAATTCAGTTAAACCACAAAAAAGTGCTTTATTGTCTTTAACCTTAAAGACATTGGATGAAGGTAGGAATAGTGTTACTAAAAAATACTGGTACAAACCAAAAGTAGCTCATCTTCGCTGAGACCTACATGCAATCTGATTCATCATCCTGCGAACTGCAAAATAAGGGGAGATCCCGATACATTAAACACCTAAGATTATCTTTATTATTTAAAATTATGATAGGGAGGCATACCAGAGGCTGACAAAGGAAATCCACATTCCAGATCCGATGCAATCTTTATATCATTCACAGCCCAAGCTTACCATCAAGCTTTTTCTTCAAGACATCCATCACCGCCCCAAAACTAGCCTTCACACTTACAGGTGGGTTTGAATACCGGCAATCCATATTAGCTATTTCATTTGAATGGTAGGCGACCTTGGACTGCGTGAACTTGAGCCCATGAGCGGTGCTGACCACTATGGTCCGGTCATTGGTGCCAATCACCCCCCTTTCCCTCAGCTTGAATAATGCAGCGAGTGCAACCCCTGTGTGTGGGCAGGCAAACATGCCTGTCCGGTCAGCAAGAGACATGGCGTCCATCAGCTCCTCCTCGGTGGCCTCCTCGACGATTCCATCGGTTGCCTTTAATGCAAAAACGGCACGGTCGATTGAGACGGGGTCACCAATTTGAATAGCAGAGGCGAACGTGTCTGCAGCAATCACCGGCTTGAAGTCAGCCCAACCTGACTTGTAATGCAGGTAGAGAGGGTTGGCGTTGGCAGCCTGCGCACATACGAGGCGTGGCATGCGGTCAACAAGCTCGAGTTCACGGCACATCTCAAACCCCTTGTAGAAGGCGTAGATGTTGCCGAGGTTGCCGCCGGGAACGATGACCCAGTCGGGCACCTCCCAGTCGAACTGCTGAAGGATCTCGATGGCAGCGGTCTTCTGGCCCTCGAGGCGGAGGGAGTTGAGGGAATTGGCGAGGTAGATGGGAAGCTCGGCGGTGACCTCGCGGATGAGGCGCATGCAGCCGTCGAAGTCAGTGTCGATGGAGAGTACGGTGGCACCGTTGGCGATGGGCTGGACGAGCTGGGCAAGGGAGATGCGGTCGGCGGGGAGGAACACGATGGCGGGGATACCGGCGGCTGCGCAGTAGGCGGATAGGGCGGCAGAGGTGTCCCCCGTGGAGGCGCAGCCGACGCCGGCGATCGGGCGGTTGAGGGGGTTGCGGCGGAGGCGGTTGACCTGGCTGACGAGGACGGTCATGCCCAGGTCCTTGAAAGAGCCGGTATGCGAGATGCCGCAGTGCTTGACCCAAAGGTCGGGCATGCCACCAAGGTGATCGCGGCCAAGGCGCTCCGCCCAGAAGAGGTTGGAGTTGCCCTCGAAGAGGGAGACGATGTGGTCTGGGTCAATCTCCGGGAGCACGAACTCCTTCTTGGACCAGACGCCCGAGCCGTAAGGCCAGGTAGTGCGGCCGACGCGGGAATCGAACAGGTCGCGCCAATAGGAGCCCGGGAAGCGCTTTAGAGCCGTCATGTCGTGGCGGACGTCCAGGAGGCCGCCGGACCGGCCACGGTACACCACGTCATCCAGCGAGTATGTCTCGGCGGTGTCAGCGGGAGCATTGAAGGGCACGTAGCACGCCGAGAATCCGCACGACCCGGTCGCCTCGTCACGCCGGCACGCCTCCTCGCGGATATTCTCCTCCGCCGGCCGCCTGGTCTTCAGCTGCGGATGGTTGCTGCCGCTAGACGACGCGGCAGTGGAAGAGCAGCAGATCCGGGCCGGGCGACGGTGGCGAAGGAGGAGGGAATCGGTAGGGTTCCAGAGGTGGGGGAAGGCGGAGCTTAGCTTCCCGATTCCTCTGTTGTTATGGTTCCTATTGCGGAACGGGAGACGATCGAGACGATCGGACGAGGAAGACAAGAATACAAAAGAGGAGACGGCAGAGGCCATGTCGGTAGCAGCGGCGGGGGCGGCGACGAGAGAAGAGGAGAGGAGGGTGCGATGGCGGCGGATGAGGGTTCGGACGCAGAGATTAGGGGCTTAAAATAGACGGAGGAGGGATTAAGCCGCTCGCCTTCTAAATAATGCTAATTAATTGTAGTCGACGGACCGGATCAAGTTTGAGCATCCCGATCGCACATGTCGTATTATTTTATATGAATCGAAGAACCCGCCAATAATGTCCAAAATATCCAATATCGACATGTGGCACAAAGATCGTGACAAGAAGAGGAGCCCATAAAATATACGAAAACCTTTATGATTTTTTTGTATGTTGTAAAATTCATATATAATTATATTAGAAATAGAAATCCTAATCGTTTGGATGAATGGGGCCGAACGGAGGCGCAGTCCAATCTAAGACGGTAGGAAAACAACCCAATTCCTATCCTACGTGTACTGTGGAGCCCATCTCCCGGATCTGGCGACCGTTCAAGAAAAATAGATTCAAAATGTTTTGCAATTTCGGATGGAGGGGTTCAGATTTCATAAAAACGAGAATGATTCAAAAAGATTCATTCATCTAACACTTTGATATTTAAGCTACAGAGATCCTCCCGATTCAGAGACTGCACAGCCGGTCTCTTCTTGAACTACCATATATTGATTGTAGCTGCAGATGTAAGATGTCAAAACATCAGACTGACTTGACTGCATATCCAGCTTGCAAATTGCCGATAAATAGTTCAAATATTTGGTGGTCCTTTCAGTCACACTCTTCTTTGAGGATGTAAGGGAGCTCACTCCAAAACTTGGGGCCTATTATATCCATGTGTTCCACAACCACCTTGCTTCGAGTTCTTGTGACGGGATTTCCAGTATCATCCAACTTAACCACTTCTTCCACCTACAGGAATCAGATTGCATATAACACAAGGAAGGGTCAGCAGGAGATATATCAAGTTGATAATGACTCGATATGCATAAGTTCTCTTGACCGTAGCAATAATAATAAAGTCGTAAGTCTCAAATATTTGAGGTTGACTATATAGTTCTTTTGTCGTCATTGAGATATATAAAAAGTCATATATTTCGTTAAGTTTAGATTATTTAAATATTTATTTATGGTTTCTATTAAAGTCTCTTTAGGTCTTCCGTTACATTAATCATGTCACATTTTCTGACTAACACATCTGAATGTCTCCTGAGCACATGCGCACATAATCTTTAAATGATTTCCTATAACAAATTGTTTAGTAGAAAATAAAATTTTATCCAAACATGTCACCTAGATCCTTTTTCCTTCAAACTCGGAAAGGACGGACAAATGGCATCACTAAACTGCTTTGAAAGGCCAACAAATGTATATCCATGGCAGAAACATTTAGAAGAATCTCTTTAAAAGCACATGCATCCCTCACAACAAGTTGGTATTCCTTTATCTAAACCAGTGAAACATATGCAGCAATAATTTTTTTTCGATGACCAATATGACAAGAGAAAAGAAAAAAAAAAAGGGTATCCTCAGTGTAGTAATAAAAACATTTAATTTACCTTTTTTCTGTAAACACAAGATCCTTTTCGGAACATTTGAGGTAGCTTATCATAATTAACATTGAACTGTCGAAAAAGCAGCTCATTCTTATCTTTTGCTTGTGTGCCCTGTAAAACTACAGCAATATGAATTCTGAAACCATGTAGAAAATTTTGAGAATACATAAATCATTCCTAAATTACAAATATATTGTATGAGAAATATGAATAAAAAAGGGACTGACAACTTTGAAATCGTAGAACAAAGAAAAATTAACAATTCCAACTCCATGATATGCTAAAATTGTATAACTAAAATGCAAAAGATGAAAAAGAAAAATCATACTCTTTCATGTTTGTGGAATATTTCAAATATTTCCTGTTTCAGAAGGACAAGCTCACATAGCAATGATTATCATTAGCATTCAAATATCCAAAACATAATAACAAATGATATTTAGAATATTACATGCTTAAGCTAATACTTTCCTCTAGCTTTTACAGAACTTGTATAAGCATCATCAGGATATCAAAACACAATACAAGAAGCCTAATCCCGGCTCCTAGAATTGCTGACAACATCTTAAGGCATCCACATGAAACTTATAGATACTAAGTACCTGATAATATGGCATCTCTTGGAATTCTTATCAAAACGAAGTCCACAAACAAAAAGTATTGTTCAAAATTGAATGACTAATGTTGTTAGAAAACATATTATAATATTCACAGAACATAATGAACCCGTCTGAGAGTGCAGTAACAAATGTTGTGTGCTAAAGAAACTAATGCATCCTGTTAATGGGCCAAGATGGTATTTTAAATAAGGATACATCTCTCGAGGTTAACTCAAGCCAGTCATGATCAGTGAGTGGCACAAGAAGTAACCACAAGATAAAGGTTCCTTATGCACCAGGTGAAAAATATATGATTGAGATCTCAATAGGGATGGCATGAATGTAATACTTTGCTCAATGTCCACAAGCTTTAATTTTGAATGGTGGCAAATTATTTCATCGATGAGTTTTGCATATATCATGATTAATAACATGCATTAAATAGATTCAAGACCTTTTAGTTACAAAATTGTGGCCCAAAAGAAAAGGTAACAGAAGCATCTGACTGTTCTATAGATAATGTGGCTACAATAAGTCGAATTGTTTAATCCATTTACCTAAATTATAAATTCTACAGAAATATATTTAATCAAAAGACTAATCATGTTGTTCACAAGTTCCCACAGTATAAAAGTTGTGCAGCTAACTTACAACAACATAGGAAAAAATGCTGAAAGAACAGGGGTCCCAAACCACCATGAGAAAATAATTGGTAAAGGAACCAATGCATACCTTTAGAAGTACCTGGGCTTCCCTCTGTGTCTTTCCCGACTTAACCAACATCCAAAAACATGTATTATACTGATTGTTTATGTGACCTGCAAAATGAGATGAAAGTCTGGAAGTGAATGTGGCTTGCCATGTTTGATTTATGCAGTAACTTCAACAGGTTTTCCCATGATATAATTCCTCCGTTAGTGCACTTACAGTCTACCTGCCTCCATGCCAGATAATCCTGGACAATTTTTGCTCTTGGGTAACATACAACTCGTCCATCAAAATAAGGTGGTCCTTTCAGTTCCTTGTGAGGAAAAAATTCTTTCCACTTCATCACGTAGACAGATGTGAAATAGGATACACTAAGTGAAAGTAATTTGCTGCATTGAGATTATCTAAAGCAACTGGTCACTGAGTGAATGTATAATATATTGTACATGCACCAAAACATTTCACTATGTGAACGTGAAAATATTGTAAATGAAAGCAAAAGGAAGTAAGAGTAACCTTGACCGTCTTTGGTAAAACTGAGTAGTTTCCTTCCATATAAAACTGCAAAAAGGACACCTTAGGTGATTAACGAAAATCATACTGGATTAATCTAAGTCTTGTAATAGGATAATCAGTTGAAATGTTTACTTTGTGGTCTAAGATCTCATGAGGTTATTATGCTAAATCATTCTAGTTACTATGGTCTGCCGTACTGAAGCGTACCACCCGTACCGGGCGGTACGTACCGGTCCGACAGGTTCTCGGTACTATACTGTAGTACTGCTACAGTATAAAATAATATAAAATTATCGGTACACCAGGGTGTATCGCTCGGTATGCCCTGATGTACCGCCCGGTACACCGGTACTGTATCGTACCGAGCCCGGGTCGAAATTCCGATAAGGTACGGTATGACGGACCTTGCTAGTTAGTGTCCCCCTTTTGACAAAGAAAATGCACTGTGCATATTGTATACAATGCCTTTGGTTTTGCTGTATAATGAAGTCATGGATTTAAAGATGGAACTGCAGCTAGGAGAAGAAACAGCATCCTTTGATCATTTTGAATAGCAAAATCAAGCTCATGCAACAATGCTACGTGACAGAAATTTATCATACATGTGATTACAAGAAAAACAAGTGCCCTATGTAGTAATCCGTTTATACCAAAGGTGATGCACACTGATGAACAACACGTAGGATTACAAAGAAATCAGAGACATGAAGTAAAGGCCGTACCTATATTCATCACTGACACCATATGCAAATACTATGTCAGGAAATTGTTCTAGCATAGAGACTGCACATGAGTTCATCAAATTCAAAGCATTCTCGTCATTGGGCTTTTCAAATGCATGTTCTGCAGAAAATCTGATCAAGAGAATATCAGAACCAAACATGGAATAACTATGGAATAAGAGGAACAATAGAGGAAAAGAAAAATGAAAAACCTAGCCAACTTTTACCAAATGCTCCAAAGACATTTTGAACCTACCATTATCAGTATCTAACAAAAATGGACAACAAACAAAAATGGTCCTTCAGATTCATTACACAACTTGAGTAAATGTGATGACTAGAGTCCACATTTCACTGAATCGTGACAATTGTTATTAGTCCGCTTAATTATCATCAAGTTTTGGCAGATTCCTGGTTGCAGAATGCATGCCACGAGCATAGTTCATGCTTCCCTATATTTAATCCAAAGACAATCTTAAAGTGGCTAAAAAATATACAGACCTACAACTCAAAATCTAACATTTTAATAAACAAATCTGGCAGAGAATCAGAGTGCAAGCATAAAAACCATCGTTTTGAGAGTAGAAACAAAAGCTATAAAGAAGACTTAATAGGCACAAAGATTAACTACACCCATACTAGAGTAAAAATGCACTCTGAAAAAGTTGCCTCACTGGTGAAAATGGCATCCGTCAATTCTGACAACAATCCAACTGGAGGGAGGCAGTCTGTCATCAGTTTCAAATTTCTTGACGTACTCATACTTGCTATTTGCCATTCGATTAAATTAGCACCTAAAGAAGATGCCATCCAAAGAAGCTAAGATTAGTCCAACATATTACACAAAAAATACGCTATCACCTTAACACTGTTGCTACATTAAAGAAGAGAGCAGAAACACGTCATCTAAAAGAGATTTCGCTGTGAACTTTCATCGAACAGGTGATACACCAAAGAAAATTGTGTTTCTCATAAGCATGAACCGGGGTAAGAGAGAGGAGGGATGAGCTGCAATGAACAAGGAGGAAGAGGAGGAAGAGAGAGAGAGAGAGAGAGAGAGAGAGAGAGAGAGGACGGGGT